ACGCATTTAGCCGAACTTGCTTTGTCGGCGACGCCCAGGACACAGATCCTGAGGACATCAGCGAAGCAGAGCTGGTGCCCGATGCTGAGATGCCTCAGCGAGGTGCCCCTGAAGGGGTGGATGATGCCGGTGGCGCACTGACGCCCGAGGAAAGAGAACGTCTCATTTTGGAACAATTCCCGTTCCCCGGAACTCCGAACACAGAGGCAGAGCGCCGAGCGGCGTGGAGATCGTTACCGCAACGAGTCCGGGTAGCTATAAGGCGCCTGCACCGGTCGTTTGGCCATCTGCCAAACGCAGTCTTGGTTCAGGTTCTGAAGCAGGCCCGGGCGAGCAAGGATTTCATCGCCGCTGCCGGACTTTACAAGTGTAAGGTCTGCCTGGACACAGCTCCAGTGCCCAGGCATCACCCTGTCGCAGGCGATAGCGTGTTCCCAAAGGAGTTCAACCATACGATAGGTATGGATGCGCTAGAGGTCAAAGACTTCTATGGAAATCGCTATACTGCTGTCAATATAGTTGACATGGGAACAAGTTTCCAGCAAGTTGTGCTCGTGAAATCTGGGGGTGGTAACCCAAGTGCCCGCCAGTGTGTGAAATGCCTGATTGACAGGTGGATCAGCTGGGCTGGACATCCCAAAGTCATAACCACTGACAGAGGGACGCACTTCAGGGGAGAATTTTCAGAGTATTTGGCACAGCATGGTATAACCCATAAGAACGCCCCTCTTGAGAGTCCGCAGACTATTGGAAAGGTCGAACGCCATGGTGGACTTGCTAAGGCCATCATCAGAAAAGTCGCGCAGGAGACTCAGCCCTCGAATATCGAGGAGATGGAGGCGGTCGTTACCGAGAGTGTTACTACTAAGAACGAGCTTAGTAGGCACCAAGGGTTTAGCCCAGCACAACACGTGTTGGGAAAACAGCTTCGAACACCGGGTTCCGTGCTAGATGAATCCGAAAGCCTTGGTACATTGTTCACCAAGTATGATGAGACGAGTGTATACTACATTCGGCCCAGAGCACGGCAGGAAGCCAAAAAGGCCTTTGTTCACTTAGAGACTTCCCGCAAAGTGGCCAAAGCGTTACAGCGTAATGCAGCCCCTCTAGACACTGACTATAAGGTTGGTGATTCAGTTATCTACCGTCGGGATAACGTCCCTGGCAGCCCAGGTGTCGTGTGGTCCACGGTTAGCCGCGTCATAGGACGTGAGGCAGAGAATGCGTACTGGGTATTACACGAGAATATCCCTGTACTTGTGAACGCTAGGAAGATGCGCCCGGCTGATGAAATTGAAGTTGCAGCGCATCGCGTTTTGGCAGGAGAACCAGTGCTTCCGGAAGCCATTGTCCATGGGCCGGAACAAAGGTTCCAGGATGAGCGCGTAGCAGATCCGGTCACAGCACCAGCGACGCCACGTCCAGTGGCTGCAGCTGCCCCGCTTACACCGGCAGTCGCGCACGATGTGTCTATGCCAGCACCATCGACGCCAGCGATGATGCCCGGCACACCGATGCCAGCGCCATCTACACCTGCAAGGTTTCGCGCCAAAGATAAGACGGGCGAAACCGCCCGGTCGCGATCGCCAGTAGGAGGCCGTGATGATGCACTAGTTGCGGAAGAGATTGATCAAGTAGAGATCATGGCAAAAGGCCTGATAGATACTCAGGGTTTTTCCCCAGATGAGTGTCTGGCCCTCCTTCGTGCCTATGACCGCGACCGACGCGAGGCGTACACGCGCCCGCTCCTAGATGATGGAGATCCCGGGAGCATAGCCCTCGCGGTGGGAGTATATCGGCACGGTGGTCTTGTTGGTGTCTCTGGACCAACGCGCGAGAGACCGTCGTTCGCCATGTACCTCAACCACTACATCTTGCATCACAGTATGCAAGCCGGTCATCATCTCCCACAGTGGAGTAGCGTTCAGCTTACCAACAGAGGCGCAGAGGCCCATAGAGACCTAGCGAACACTCCTGGCTCGTATAACTACACTATAGGTGTGGGCGAGTATCGTGGAGGCGGCCTATGGGTGGAAGAAGCCACGGGTACAACCCCCGTGCGTGTTCAAAACACGACAATGTATGGCACCGTCCATGATACTAAGAACAAGGTTCTTAAGTTTCGCCCGAAGGACGTGCACATGGTCGCACCGTTTGTAGGAGAAAGATACAGTCTCTCCGCATACACGGTGAGTGATCTCGGTAAGTTGTCTAAAGATGACATACAGCTTTTGTCGGACTTAGGCTACCCCATATATAGGGATGCGCCCAACACCTTTGGCAGGAAAGGCGATGGGATATACACCATGGGTCACTCTGATCTTCCCATCGAGACGTTCCTAGAGCGCATCCACGAGTACGGGATTAAGGAAATCGTAGATTGCAGAAGTCATCCGTACAGCGTTCGGCATCCACAATACAATTGTGATGAGCTTTCTGCCACATGCTTTGCAAAAAGGGTTGTGTACAGTCACGCCCCCGAGTTAGGCAACAGGAATCGGGGCGGGATTGAAGCCAATCTGCAAACAGACCAAGGGCTCTGTACGATCGCTAGAATAGTTAGCGAGGCCCACGATGACTTTCACCGAATACTTCTGTTGTGTTCGGAGGCCAGTTGGCGGCGATGCCATCGGCGAAATATCGCCCAGCACATATGGCTCGAACATTCGAAACTTGCCGAGCACATACGTGCTAACGGACTGCCAGAAGCCCATCCGTGTCACTACATTCCTGAGGAAGACGACGGACTGGCAGCAGCATCGCACACAGCTGCGATTGGCACGACAGTGCCAGCAGCTGAGCCCTCGGATAGTCGAGCGGCGGAATCCAAGGCCTTTGCTCTCACCCCAGATGGGGAAGACGCCTTCGGCTCTAATGTCGATGCTGGCTACATGGCCTCGCTCCTGGATTACCATAAAGCCCCTGTAGAGGTACAGCTGGGGCTGGATGCTGCCATGAAAACTGAATGGCAGAAGTACACTGAATTCAACGCAGTGGTCCCTTGCACAGACAAGGAGTTTAAGGAGCTTACAAAGGCTGGTCACGTGTGTATCCCCACCAAATGGGTCCTCACCGATAAGAATGAACACCTAAAGGGGACGCCAGCATACACTCCCAAGTGGAAAGCACGCTTGGTCGCATGTGGAAACTTCGAGCATATCTCGAATGAGGAGGATATCAGGGCAGACAGCCCCACGGCCGAGCCGGAAGGTATAGCCCTTCTGTGTTCATGGGCGGTTTCGTTGGCCCTGCGGCTCAAAGCAGCCGATATAACGAACGCATACTTCCAAGGGAAACCCCTTGAGCGCCTCCTCATTCTTCGGGTTCCTAAACACCCTAAGGGTGTGCCCGATGCAGAGATTCAGCGAGCCGGGCATATGATTGCCCGAGTACCCGTGTATGGCACGACCGACGCGGGTCGGAACCTTTACCTCCGTATAAAGGAGAGTGCCCGAGAATTTGGCTTAAATGCCTCGCAAATTCTGTCAGCCCTGTACTATATTACAGGAGAAGGTGGTCGTTTGTGTGCTTGCTTGTGCACCCACGTGGATGATTTCCTGTGGGCTGCTACCGCCGAAGGCGAGCCGGCTATCCAGAATCTGCTGGATAAGTTTAAGATCGGTCGCATAGAGACTGAGAAGTTCCGTTTCTGCGGACGCGAGTATGTGCAAAGCGCCGATGGGACCATCAGTATAAACTGTAGGGATAACACGCGTGCAATTCGCCCGATCGATATACATAAGTCTGAAAAGGGCACGACTCCAGTCTCGAATGGCCAGCGCACAGCGCTGAGATCCGTCATAGGATCGCTGGCTTGGGTGGCCCGCGCCACGAGACCTGATCTTGCCTATAGGGTGAATGCCCTGCAGCAGCGTGTTACGACAGCCACGGTGGATACGCTCCGTGAAGCAAACCGCGTAGTAGCACTGGCGTTAGGAGATGCGGATAGGCCGATCACGTACAGCGCTAAGTTACCCTGGAATACAGGGGAGCTGGCGGTCGTCACGTTTTGCGACGCCTCCTTTGCAGGAGAGGCGAACCATAAGTCGCAGAGAGGCCGTTTCCACTACCTCACTTCCGCACAGTCGGCGGTGGACAAGAACGCGCCAACGCATGAGATGCACCTTATTTCGTTCTCCTCGTCCACCATGAAACGGGTTTGTCGCGCCACACTGCAGTGTGAGGCTTACTCGTTGCAACACGCCATAGAGCATGGAGATCGCATTCGAGCAGCAGTACTCGAACTGCTCGGCAAACTGCCCCGGTCACAGAACTGGGAAGAAGTCGCCAAGAGATCGATGTTCCACCTGCAGTATACGGACTGCAGGTCCCTTTCGGATCACTTGACAGCGTCGATTCCAAAGTCTTGCGAGGATAAACGCCTTGCCATAGAGATGTCCGGACTCCGCCAAGGACTTTGGGAAGAGGACGAGCTAACGCACGCTCTGTACCATCCCTTTGGCGATGAGTTGAGATGGATACCGACGCATTTACAACTTGCGGATTGTCTCACTAAGAGTATGAAACCGCTTTTGATCAATCACCGCATTGATCGCAATCTCGTTCAGGTACTCGATGTGCCCGCGCAAGCCGCACAGAATACTGAGAGTACCGAAAGCACTCCGCTTCGCGATTGAAGAACTCAGCCTGGAGCCTTGAGTCGCCGCACTCGGCTCGGTTGACTGCGCAAGCTCCCGGTATAATCCGGTGAAGTAGGCTTGGCCCAAAGCGGCCATAATTCGAGCATGATTCGGACGTCACACTACAGATAAGACGGGTGTGAAATTTCCCTGTCTTGAAGTGCCGTGTTGACATGTCCTCATGCGAGCGTAGTTTTCGTGCTAGTTCTGAACGCACCCTATTCGACAGACGTCTTGGGCTCAGACCAAAAAGTGCGCTCGTTTGTGTGGTTGGACACTCACTAATCCAGTTCCTGCTTCAAAGTGGTAATGGGATGACAACGAGAACGAAATTTGATAACTTCTGCCCCTTTGTTCCAGGAGGACGGACAACCGAACTACCAAGAGTTGTTCCGGTTCTGCGACTACCATGTCATGGGCTCTGGGCAGGCCTTGCAACTGCCGCAAGTTATTTCTGTGTTATCCATTGCTGCCATCCGGCGATTGAGCTGGCTGTTATTTGCATGGGGTTTTCCCGGCTGTCCATCGTAAGTGCGCCTCGCCTCCAATCTCAATATGTGATCGCCATTTCTCGAGCTTCTTGCCTTATCGGTTGAGCCAATGGTACGTCGGGAGCTGAGCCAAAGACAAGTGCTAGGGCCAGGGCTCAAGCCGCGGTTCTGATAAACTTCCCCACCCTGCAGTGGTCGCAGTCGTGGTGGCAGCAGAGGACTAGCGAGGTGGTGATGGTGGTGGTGGTGGTCTCGCTGACAACGATGGTAATCACCCTGGCAAGTAACGGTAAGTAACGGCTAGATTATGATATTGAGAACGTGACGTTGAATCAGTAGTCATCGTTGTCGCCATCGCTCGGTGGAGACGGCTCACCACCTCCATGACTTCGCGCTTTTTGCACAGCTTGTCGGAAAGCAGAAGCAAAAGGTGACGCCATGACCGCACGACGAATTTCCTGTCTGCTTCCCACAAGGCTTTGCGCAGATTGAGCCCGATGGGGGTGGGCCCCCGAAGTATGCCCTCCTGCAGGCGCGAATGGTGAACTGGGTGTCTTTTTTCAGGGGTTCTTACACAAGATCGAGCTGCACTCCATGGGTTACCACGCCAATTCAAGCAGGACTTTCGTTTCGAGAGGCCCAAATGCGTGAGGTGCCTTGCTTAAGAGATTCCCAAGACGGATTACTTGGTTTGTAGTATGGGGTATGGTCTAACTCAAAATCCAACGACCCTAAACCCCGAACCACCCTAAACCCGAAACGTAGAGAACTACCCATGGAGTCAGTATAGTAATATGGGGGCCTGAATAATTACCAATACTGATTTAAGGGCTCCTTATTATAATTATAGTATAATATGCCCCAAAACCCTATTCTACTTCCTAAGGGTCCTATATTAGTACCCTTATAGCATCCCTTATAATAAGCCCCCAATGGGCCCCTTTAAAGGCGTAGGGGTCCTATATTCGTACCCTTATAGTATGCCTTATAGTAGGCCCCTATAAACCCCTTTAAGGGCCCTCCTTCGTTTCGCCTTGTTGGCCAGGCGGATGGGCTGCTGCCTCAGCTCCACGCTCGAGATGATCGAGGGCTAAGCCTCAACTCGAAACCTAAACTACTGTTGATGATATAAATCCTGCATTACCCACAATAAGGGGTCTATACGGGCTTACTATAAGGGTACTTATATAGGACCCTTAGTAATCAGGATAGGTTTTGGGGTATATTATACTTATAATTATATTAGGGTTGAGGGTTTCTTGGATCAGGGTTCAGGGTTGTTGATTCAGGGTTTAGGATTTGTTGGATCAGGGCTTAGGGTTTTCGTGCACAGGGTTTACGGTCTGAGTGTCAGGGTTTAGGGTTTTTGGATCAGGGTTTGGAGTACTGTAGCCTACAGACGTCCCAGGTGCGAACCCCCGCTCAGTCGCATGGCTTTCGGCTGTGCGAGTAGACAGGGGTTCAAAAGGCCTTACCCGTGATCCCGAATCCTGAACAACAAGTTATCGGCCTTCCAAGCAGCATCCAAGGCTCAACACGAAAAACCCTCATCTCAAGCAGAGCCCGCAAAGGAACACTATAGAACCCAGAGTACCCTTGAAAGAGAACTAGGTTCTAGTTCCCTATAGCACCCTTTAAGGAAACTCTCATGGAACGCTTCGAGGAACCCTTCCCAGGTCATTCACCGAAGCAGAAGGCTGCCCCTTCGAGGGCCTCAAAGATACTGGCCGCAAGGCCGGGATTGGAGTTTAGAGTGTAGGGCCTGTTCTTTTCAAGAGGGGTTACAAAGTGTTGAGAGGCGGTTGTTAAGTGCATTCCTTACGGGGAGGGGTTTCTATGCTATGCTATACCTTACTATACTTAGCTGCACTTTGCTATACTTTACTATGCTTTACTGTACTGTGCCAATCTGATTACAATGTGCTGTATCGTACTATGCCATGCTATACCTTATGCTACACTATAACATGCTTTGCACTTACCATGCTATCTCAATGTGGTGCCCATTCCATCCCATCCCCCCACTCCCCCACCACCCCACCACACCACCGAAAGAGGCCCGGCCGCTCACACAGACCGCTGCCAGGTCTCCGTCGGCCGATTCCTGCCGCCGGTGAAGCCGCAGGAGCTGCCAGGGCCAGCTCGAAGCCAGTTAATAAGGCTACTGACTGTAGGGTTCTATGATAGGGTTCCCTTTAGGGGTTAAGGGCTTATATAGGGTTCAGGATCACCTGAAGGGAGCTCCCGAAAATCAGGACACAGGGTGTGTTTTTCTCGCTCTCTCTCTCTGTGTTTGTGTGCTATTGTTGCTACTTGTTGTTGCTGGTATTTGTGTGTTTGTCATTACCATCGTTAGGATGAGGATGCTGCTGCTCTTGCTTTTCATGTATCGTCATGGGGATTAGCATCACTGCTGTTTTTGTTATTGTTGCGTTTGTCATTACTATCACTATTACGATTACTATTGCTATTCACTTTCTTCTTATTGCTATTACTGCCTTTGGTGTTTTGGTTTTTACTATCAAAATGGTATCAAGAACACCCCAGGAGTCCAAGATGCCGAAGTGTGAGAAGGGCCGGGGTCGGGGTAGGGGAGGGTAACGGAAGGGGTAGGGGAGGGGTAGGGGCAGGGGGGTAAATTCGACTTGCATGCAAAACTGGGTGGTCTGCGAGGACTTCGATGGCTTTGAGTGCCAGAGGGGCAAGAAAGAGATTTCCGCCAAAAATACATGCTGCGCTGTGTGCGAGCGCGGCGATTCGTCAAGTTGGAAAACGTCAGAACGTCAGAATCACAAGAGTTTTGCACTGGATTCGGCATGCCCAGCTGACGCGACCAGCCAAATTTCAGTCGACAGTGTCCACGCACAGTGCAGCTGTCGCGAGAGCGCGTAGCCTCCACTGGCCGCCTAAGCAACTCCTCTGTATACTCCTACTCTGGTAGCACACTGTTGTCATAATGTTCTTGGAATAAGGAGTTGCATGTCTTTTGTTGGTGTGCGTAATTCCTTCTTGTATACCTCGCGCATAATGAAGCGGAACATGCGACAGAAGCAGTGCTGCAAAGCGGAGCTCAGAATGCGAATCTGAAGGCCATAAACCCTCCATCCTAAGCATCCCTAAGCCCTAAACCATCCTAAACCCCTAGCCCTAACCCTCAGGACATCATTTGCATCGGCCCAGAGCTCGGAGCTCTGCGTCTTCGATGAATTCGAAGTGCGTGCACAGCTGAGGCTGGTTCGGGCATGCGGTATACGGCATTGCATGTTTACGAAAGTACACATACAAGATCAATATCAGCATACTTTAGGGTACGTGTAAGTATAGGGTGCTGATCTGGGTATATGTAACGGCATGGGAGTTTCCGAAAATTAGGAGCACCATATTTTGGGGTCCTTATAATAAGGATCCTACTATTTCAGGTTATTAGGATTCCCTGTTATCGGAATCCCCCGTATAGTGTCAGCTGCACACCCTACACCCCAAACCCTAAACCCTAAACCCTCAACCCTAAGCCCCAAACCCCAACCCTCAATCCTAAGCCCTAAACCCTTAGCCCTAAACTCTATAAGCCCCACCTTACCGAAACACGGAAGCCGAGGCCTGAACTACCGCGCACATGCGGACGAGCTGAAGCTGCCCTACCCGAAGAACCCGGTGGCAGGATGCCGAGACGCGCCGGACAGACTCTGTGCATTGTGTACTATTTTTCATTCCGCAGAAGTATATTATGTGGTATACAGTAAATATATTCTATGCATCATATACATTTTTCATTCCATAATGTTATGTGGTATATGATATGAAGAATATATCTCACAGAAGCAGCTCCAGTGTCGGGACTTGGGAGACGTCTGCACAAGGTCTTCATGAAGCCCACGACCTGTGCAACTGGCCATGGTGATGCCATCGCCGGCAGCCTAGCGGCTCATAACATTTCCCAGGGCCAGCTTGAAGCTTAATCGTAATAATATTGATAGAAGTATTAACAATAAGAATAATACCAATAATGATAATAACAGTATTAAATTTCAGGGTTTTGGGTCTGGGTTTAGGCTTCTGGCCTCAGGGTCCGTCGATGTAGGCATCAAGAAGCTGTCAGGTTTGCATCAGCCGCGTGCTAGGTGAAGCCGCGTCTCACGGAGAAGATGGACTACGAGGCCTGCACAGAATTCTGATAACTCGAACATGTGCTGTCACAGGATCTCCAGTGTACGATCTCGTCTTCAAGAGTGCAGAGGTAACACCCGCATACACATGTCGGTTCACTCAAAAATTCCTGGATGCATACTATGTATATGTGTATGATCCATATGTAGACGTTTTGCATAGCAAAGCCAGCTAGTTGGAAGCAACTACAGTAACACGCTATCTAACTAAATAGCCGACAAACAAGCTAGCTAACCAACTAACTAACTAGCTAACTAGCTAACTAGCTAACCATGTCACGTACTGACTTGCCAAGAATCAGTAGATAAGTAAGTATGTCAACGCACGCATACGTTGGCATACTTGTAACTTTATTCCAGCTTCAATCTGGGTTGATTTGGGGCTCAAGACCTGTACATGTGTCAGGTGGAGCTTGCCGTTGTCATCGGCAAGGAGTGTAAGGACCGTCCTGCACAACCATATCTCTTTATGTTAGAGAACTGCCATCACATGTTTGCATTTTCTGTTTTGATCTGTTAGTCATGCTCCATGATGCCTTCGTTTCACAAGAGTCTTTCTTGGCGTGGCTACACAGCCGGCAACTGCCGTGTGTTGTTTGAGCACCGTTTTGTTTGAGCACCAGAACTTCTCTGGCTAGTACTCGTCGTCGTCGCTGTTGCTGCTGCTGTTGTTTCTGCTGTCGTAGTTGTAATCGTTTCATGGCTGTGTTTCTTTTTGTTGTATTAGGCGGCGCTTTCATGAATGACGGCTGTACTGCCGCCGTAGTCGCTGGCCCAGGTTTTGCGTTTCGTCGTGACGTAAAGATTCCCAAGGCATCCTGGGTGGTACAAACCACTCCGTAAAACGACTCGACCAACCACCTTTCATGACGTTAGCCACTAGCCACTAGTCAGTAGAAGTAGTACTCGCATGTTGAAGTGGCAGGGGAGGGGCTGCTGCTGGCATCTTGCTACATGACATGGTATGGACACAAGTTCAGGACGTCTTGAGAAGGCTTCCAGGGGTCCATGCTTTCACAGGACGGGCTTTGTTTCATGTTCAGGTGGCTTGGGCCTAGACACCCCCTCGGAATCAAATTAACCTGCCTTCCGGTTTGCTGGATCGTCGGTAAGTTGTGAGGCCTACCGAAGGTTCTCCTTAAGCAGATTCCAGATGCGATTTCGTTATGACTGTAGTACGCTGTTGGAGACGATTTCGCAACAGGTGTTGCTGGTCGGCACAGCCTCGTTAGTTACTTCGTGCCATTACGATTTGGTTATGCGCCTTGCGGGCTGGCTGGAGGGTAGCGGGTGATCTGAACGAGGCGGTGGAAGCCCTGTGGAAGGAGAAAGAGTTGCTGAATGCTACTAGTCACTTCGCCAATTGCAGTCTCCCTGCAAGTATGGCCCAGCCGCTGCCTGTTCTTTCTCTCACAGGACGTCCCTCCCGAGCATGCGCTGGACTATGTCTTGGGGCAAGCTGGCTAAATCACTCGTCCAGTGTCGTTTGATGTCGTTTGTGTACACTCGCACAATCTTACCCTTGTTGTCGCCAGCCAGCCTCAATAGTTCTCGCCTGTGCCACAGCCACGATTGCTACAGCTCACGTCCTCCAAGGTATACGTGTGCGAACGACCTGTCCACCAGAGATTGGCAGAAACTCCCCGAAATTGCTGGCAGCGTGGGCCCAAGACGCAAACCATGAAGAAGATACATAGTTCCCCAGCCGCGTATTCATGGCGTCCATCGGCAGATGGTGCCATGCCATTCCGACATTAAGCCAGAGTGTCTGCTGGGTTCATTCTCTTTCAAGGCGTTTGTCGAAGTTTCGTCTCGCAGCGATGAGACTTCGCTTGCGGACGGCATGGCAACAGCCCGACATCCGACGCTTCTTCTGGCCCCATCCCCGCGAACATGCTATACAATGCTATACTATATACTATACTTTACTGTACGAGCTCATTAGAATAGTATACTAACTGTGCTATGCTATGTACTATATCGTACCATCGTATAGTAGACTACTATACGTACTATACTGTACCCGCATACAGTTTACATCGCCGTATATAGTATAGTGGAATTCTGACTGGGTCCCAAAGGTGGGATGAAGGTAGGTGGGATATACCTACCTTTATCCCACCTTTTGAGGCCTCTGAAATTCACTTTAAACTACAAAGGGATTCATATTATTATCTAAGCTATATGCCTCAATGAAGGGGTATTGGGTTCTCTGGGTATTTCGTTGATCTCAGGCCAGTGGTGCCGATCGAAGAGCTTCGACGGGCGGCCGCCTTGGTCGGGAGGATCCGTCGCAGGGCAGCTTGGTGCGTGAGGGTTAGGCAGATCCTGCACCCTAAACTCTGCATACATGTACGTGTATGTATATGTATACATATATATATATCCACGTACGGGTACACGCACAGACCGGCACTTACATACATACCAGTATATATAGATATAGTTATATATTTCAGCATGTAGAAACAGATAGCCTATATAGATCTCTGAGGTTCGCCCCTCTGGGGCCTGTCCTCGTCACCAGGGACGAGATTCCGGACCCTGGTGCCCTCAGAGACGCTTCCCCGGTGCATCTGAGAACCTCCGTAGTCGACCATTGAGAACACACTGGGAATACACTTTAACCTACTGTACTTCTTACAACAAAATATCCTATACTATATAGTATAATAGCCATAAGATACAGTACTATACTTCTTATAACAAAATAGTCTTATACCATATAGCAACATGGACTATAAGATACCATTGTAGTCTAATATCGTATACCCACGGGAGCTGCTTTGCATTGTCTTGTGGGCATCACATGGCAGAGTCGGCTAAGGTTCAGACCTTTGTGAATGGCGTGCAGATGCAGGCCTTCGGCGATTTGCCTCATCGGCGGTCAGTGTCTGCAGAGTCTGTAGGTGATCATGGTGACCTGCTAATTGCCAATTGCGGTGGGCTCTTGGAGGACTCCTCTACGAGGGACCTGATCTTCTCGGTGCCGCAGATCATCAGCTTCCTATCAATCGGGACAAGGCTTCGCTTTGGGATTGCGGTCCGGTCTTGCGTCCACCAGCAAAGCGGCACACTGCCAGGCTCCTGCCTGGTACGGTCATCCTCACAGGCCTGGGCGATGCAGACAGCGTAGACTATATAGTATATACTAGTATATTTCAGTATATTATAGTACATTAGATCATAACTAGCATAGTATAGACCGCCTTCACTTGCAGGCACGCCCTTCGGCCCAGGACTTAGAACGCTTCACCTCGATGTCGCTGTGGAGGGCGCTTCGTCCACCGAGGTGTGGCCGAAGGTCGAAGCCCACAGCCGTGGCTGAAGCGCCACACCCGGACTCGGCATGACCAGATTCACGTGGTTAGGAAGGCGGGGGCAACTCATGCTGAGTTCATAGTGAGGCCTGGCGATCGGGTCGCGGTGGAAGTGGAGGGTGTCGGGCGACTAGAGAACACGCCGGGGACTTGGTCACGGTCTGTGTGACAGTTTGACCTCTGCGCGGTATGACAGCTGCGGAGGATCAAAGAGGATGCATCGACCGCCAGCTGCTTCTTTGTCGCCGCACCCAAGCTCTGAATCCGCTGAAACACAGCATCTTTGCCACTCACAGGCACCTAAACGGTGCAGGAGAGATCCTGGGCCGCGGGTGCTTCGAAGCGGTCGACTTGTCGATGCCCCGTAGGTCCGGAGATTTCCGTAGATTCCGTAGGTCGTGGAGGACGCCGCAACGGGCCGCAAGTCGTGCCTGAGACGGTGCAGCTTCTCTGAACGGTCCCAGTCCTCAAGACGTCATGAAGCCCAGCGACGCTAAGAAAACGCCAGCCTGCAGTGACTCCTGGGACATTTCAGCAGGGATTCAAAGTGAACCGGGTCATGTGCACAAGACGCAAAAAGGAGCACAGCCGATTTGCAAGCCGCGACATTTAGCACCATCCGTGGCTTCGCGGACAGGTGCCTTGTCAAAGCATGCTCTTCTGAATTCTGCTTCTGCCACGACACGCCAGAGAGTTGTGGGCCGTTGCGGTTGCAGGTTCGACACTGCAACTTCACTCAGAAAGGCCACCGCGACTGTTGCGGTGCTCGCTGAAAGCAGTTCGTGAGATGAGTTGAGCACAGATCTTCATGGGTCCGCGGCTACATGTAGTAGTGCAGGATACCGCGCTCGCCAGTATGCTCGTGCCGGTGCCTCAGCACGATCGGAGGACGAACTCCCAAAGAAGGTCAGCAAGTAATCCCAACGCATAGCATAGCATAGCCGTAGCAGTGTCCATCCACATTCGCTGGACTTACCCCAACAAATCAACACAACCACCACGGGTCCAGGCGCACACCTTTGCCCGTGCCATGACTGTCCTCGCCGCGCGGGGGGAGCTCCCCGATGCGGAGGCATCCCAGCAGCGGAGTGGCCTCCCTTCTTGTAGCAGCTTACTGATCAGGGCTCAGTGACGTTCAGGGGAGTGAGATGATGTATGGGGTGCATCAATCCAGTGGGAACCGCGACTTGGCATTTTCTGCCGCCGCCTTGATTCTTCCTAGCTGATCCAGCGAAACCCAAAACATGGTGAAACCCAAGAACATGGCGTTGTGAGTGATTAGTCATGTCCATTTCATGTCTCATGATGTGTTTTCAACTTTGTTGCCCTTCGTAGCAAACGCATCATCTGATGCTGCGCATAGTCCACTTCGCACACCTCCGGATGTTGAGGCATGCCTCTTTCTACTGACGATCATTTGAAACCTGTCGTGCAGAATCCTGAATACTTGAACTGGGAAGTTGAAGCCCAGATGCCTCAATTGCTGCAGCTTGCAGCAAACTGCTTCATGCCAGCTCCAAAGCAAAAGCTCCTCTGAAGGGACCCAAGCTTTCGCCCAGCCATGCTGCGTGGGCGTCTACGCCGATGGCTTCTGCCCCTACTTTCGTCTGCAGGCCAGGCTTGGGCCCGCTCAAGCTGATGGGGTGAAGCTTGGTGCTGCATCATGATTCGTTGTCTGCCTGAGGTCTGCTGATCTACATTTTTCCAAGCCTGCCAAGTTTCGTTCCGCGAGGTTCGGACCTTTTCGAGCAGAAGTTGGGATTCTGCTTCTGCGTAATTGCAGATCTGAACCTCTTCTTCCATGCCAACCACAGTGGGTCCTCAAGCGTGCTACCGTTGCGACAGGATCTGCACCACTCGGTGCAGTTGGTGCGGCAGCCCTGCTACTGCAGCCAGGGACAGCTGAGGCGTGCCCAAGGGCAATCCTTATCCCGACAAGACCTTCCTGACCTTGACTGCGTTCACCGAGTGGTAAACTACTAGCACATCTCCTGAACCCTACCCGCCACCCAAGTCCAAAACGTCCTAAGGCCCTGAGGAATCCATCGTGCAATTGATGTGTCAGCTGTGGTTAGAATCTTCCGTGACTTCACAGGCAGTGGCAGACCGGATGGTCCTGGCGGGGACCAGCAAGACGGTGTGGCTGCATCTGCAAGCAGACCGTTGCTTTGGTACAGGGCTCAGGTTTTCTGTTTATATATTGTCTTTACAAGCTACGGTAACAGCAAAGAGGAGAAGTCAGATAGACCCAACACGTAGCTACAGTTGCAGTTGCCATTGGCAACAGTGATGGTAATGGGCATGCTAGCCCTCCTCCCCCTCCGGCAGATGCCGCAACTATCGCGGCAGTAGTAGCGGCATCAGATTTGTTTGCCGGTGCAGCTGCTGGTGCAGGCTGTACATGAAGAAGAAGAAGAAGAAGTTGACGACCTCCCAAATTGCTATGGATGTTTGTAGTCATTGCCATTATCACTGTTGTGACGTAGTATGTTACTGTTGTTGTTTCCATTCCTATCATGGCCGTAGCCAACATGATTTCAGCGCGACTATCGCGATGGTCTTGAAACTGGTCGTCGTCAAGTTTGCATGAACTTGCTTACGACTGTCAGTCTCACTCAGGCCACTCTGGACACCTCCCTGGGTGGGCTTGCCTCCTTTGGTTCAGCAGCTTGGCATCAGCCCGCACACCAGTATGATAGACAGGTGAAGGGGTAAGCCGCCCTGAACATGAGGATCTTGTTTTGCGTCCCCAAACGGGTACATGACTTTCAGATCACTTTATCACTTTTGCAACAAGGACCTGTAGCGGGACTCCAATCCAGAAGCCCCACATTTAGGCCAACACGACTCTTGAATATCTGATTCTACTTCCAGTCACAAAAGGAGGCGTAATCATCGCAGTCACATGACATCTTCATACTGATATGGCGAAAAGCAGACAGGGTAGCAACTAACACACGTATGTATATTTTGGAGCGAAAGTCTTGCATGTTGGATGCAGAAGTGCAGCTCCCGTGCTGTTTTACTTGTGGCAGAAGTAGCAGCGATCATGAACAACGGATGTATCAGAAAGTGGTTCCTTGACCCTTGGCTGTTTGTGGTTGCTGCTGGTGGGAGCGGAGTAGGGTGCCGTGCGCAAGGATTGGTGGCTTCCTCTTCGTCATGCTCATCATAGCTGGCGTGCCGGGGGCCCTACTGTACGTAGAATATTGTGCATTGAGTTGTTTTACAGTATCTTATGTTAGCGTATATTATACTGTTAAACTATATGCTGTATTATAGCTGCACAAGAACGTCTTGCCCACATGGAAAGCTGACTGCAACAGCGGGACTTATTGCTGCTTCTCATCATCACCCGGCATTTTGTGAGGGCATTTTGATCCATTTCGCATGCAGTACCCTTAACCCTACACCCGAAACCCTGAGTCAGCAGACGTCGTGCCGAGGACGCCCATGTTCATAAAGCCCCCGGAGCCGGAGCGGGGCGGCTTGAAGGGTTCGGGCGCTTGATTTCAATTCTTGAGAGTCTTAGGGTGCAGGTTCAGGTAGTGGAGCTTGCACCAGGGCCCCAGGCCTGAATTTTGCTGTTTCAGGTTGCAGTTGTCCATTGTCTTCTGCAAAGGGCAACTGGAGACGCAGCAAGGCAGGCAGGGAGGCAGGCAGGTAGGTAGGGAGGCCGGCAGACACACGCACCCAACACACGCACACACACACACACACACACACACACACACACACACACACACACACACACACACACACACACACACACACACACACACACACACACACACACACACACACACACACACACACACACACGCACACACACACGAACATTCTGGCCGCGTGCTCACACATGACAATTGTATGCAATATATAGAGAGAGGTAGTCAGAATAGGTACTTGTGCGCAGCTAAACATCTGCATGCACGTATGCGGATGCGTGTATGCACGTAGTGTGGTATGTATCTCCGTGCATGTGCCAAACACTGCTGCAATAATTCCACTGGCGATAAGATCGGAGCGCCTTTGCGTCGGGAGGAGCCCGTCGTGGAGGAGAAGCCACAGGCTCCTCTTGGCATCCTGGCATCGTTTGAAATTCCAGCATCGCCAACATGTAATGGGACCAATGATTGTAGTAGTAGCTGTTAGATAGTTGATGCTTCACCAAAACTATCACTGGCAATAGTAGAAATTATCAGACTGATACCAGCCAGGCGATCACAGCACAACTAATTGAAATTGAAATGGCAACAGTACTAGAACCAGTAGCGGTAGTTGAAGTTGTAGTAGTAGTAGTAGTAGTAGCAGTAGCAGTAGTAGTAGTAGTAGTAGTAGTAGTTGTCATAGTCATAGTGGTAGTCTAGTGGCAGTGGTCGTGGTCGTAGACTAGAAGGAGGTGAAGTAGGAGTAGGAGTGGGAGCAGTAACATTTTTCGTTGTAGTCCATTTCAACACGAATCGCACACAGCAACAAGAAAAGCCGCACTGATGTCGCATGTGACGGTTAATGACTGTGATAGCAGAATCATAGGCAGGCCAGTCATAGTGATAAGAATGGTAGTTATGATAGTTTACATTAGTATTTGCAACAAGCATGTTGGTGATAGGATCAATAATACCAGTAGTAAGCAAATGGCAATGGCACTAGTAAGAGTGGTAGCGATACTTGTATTGGCACTGTCATACTTCCAGAAGCCCACGGCACACAGCCCAGGTGTCACAGACGACCTCTTTGCCCCGGGACGTCGAGGCCGGCCAGCGCCGGCAAGAGCTGCTGACACAGCAGCACCAGACACAGCTGAAGAGACGGCAGAGACTCTCGGAGAAGACCATTCTGCTGCTTCGTGTTGGACTCTGATGGGCCTGTAGCAGAACTCCACGGCTCAGGACCGAGTTGGTGGAAGAGGCCAAGCCGCGCGTTTCTGCATGGCAACGGCTCAAGGACGCACGGTGGGCGGCAACTGCGGGTAGTGTGGACTTGGTAGTTGCACAGTCTGTCACAGCTTCTCACTCGTCCGTTTGCTTCGGATTTATGGCTACCAGGATGACTTGTGATCGTGCCCTCCATTTTCCAGCGTCTCATCGGCGAGGCGAAGCTTCGCCGACTGCGGGTTCCAAAGCAACGAGGAATCCGTTGTTTCCTCGTGGATCCAAGCATAGGCGTTAGGCGTCGCGAGCAAAAAACTTCGTTCATGAGGAGCACCATGGTGCACCTAAGTAACAAGTTCTTGGTGCTGCCTCACGGCATTGCTGTAGTGGCTTCGGCTGTCCGTTCAGACAAATGCAAGCTTGCCTGCTTCAAGGCGCAGGGAAAGAGGTCTTGACATTCTAGACGCTAATGCTCAGACAATAGTCGCAGGTTTTGGTCGGAGCCCCTCTAAGTCTCAGTCCCATTACCACAATAAGGGGCTCGTTGACTCAGCGAACAGCGGAGGTTTTCCCTCCTTCGGAGGTAGTGGGGGGCAGAAGCCGGGTCACAGAGCTTGTGGCTTTTATAGTGCCAGCCTGCATGACATGCGAACACAGTCTCATGTTTTTCATGTCCACGCTGCATCACAGGCGGCCAGCAGGAACCAGAAGTGTAGTCGCTCTCCGCCCTGAGCCATCGCGCACCCTCTTGCGTGGGCGGAGCTCCGCCTTTGTGCCCAGGCGCGGCTGCATACAAACGATCGTCTGCACATGCGAGAAAAATACATAAAACAAACGCATGAGATATTCGCGGCGCCAAGAGTTCGGGGTTCAAGTTGCTGTTGCCTGCAGAACATCGGATGTTGGTGCCAAGCTGCCCAATTTGGGGAGGCTTCGACGAGCCCAGTGCCGAGCTTTCTTGCTTTCTTGGGGTGCTGTTCTCAACTACTGGTACTTGCAGCCGCCTAGTCGAGGTTTTGCCTGAGACCGGCAAAGATTCCGGCAAGGCCACGTGTCGCATCGCGGCACAGCGTCACCTCCAAGGCGGGGGCTTTTGGATACGGCGCAGCCAGACGAAGCAGCGGCGAAAAGCACCGAGAGGCGACATTGGCTGTCGCGCTCCCGCTGGCGCTGGCGGGCAGGCAAGAAAGCGGTGCAG